AATATAGATAGAGAAGGTTTAGACGTGTAATCCTCCTTATTACTCCGAAAAGTTACATGTGAGTTCTAATACCGTAATTAAACATTTAGAAACACAAGCACATAAAATTTCCAGATCCAGTCGGTGATAGGCCATAGATCCGAACAAAGGATAACATCATAAAGCTTATAAGGCATTTTGTATCATAAATCATTTAGCACATAAAAGCAATTTAGTCATCTTCTCTAATTAAGCTAGTTCACATGTCTATTTAGGCATACCTCCTAAATATAGAAGACACTCATGTCACAATCATTGCTTAACATTTTAAGTTTAAGTCTAGAAATAAATCATTCACCCTAGTTCTCTTAAACTAATGCTCTGATATAAACTGTGACATCCCAAATTCACGGTCATTTTAAAATTTTTATTTATGCTTATTTTAAAATCAGAGTATTTTTTTAAAGAATAATATTGATGAATTTGTTCCCATAAAAACATTATAATAATATTATCAAAACATTTCCGAAGAAATGTATTTTATTTATATTAAAACATTGGGATGTCATCGTCAATATAGAAACATAAGCATAAACAGGCCTACCATTCATTTACACTAATGCTTTATATCTCCCTTAATCTCTCAATATAACGTATCTTCGCATTGATACCTATGATACAAATGAACTAAGTGGGTCAGGTTGGGAAACCTAGTGAGTACATAGGGATTTCAATCCTCACAATGACACGATCCATACTCTCGGATCTAAATTTAATATCTTTACCTAATGCATAATCCCAAATCAGGTATGTCTAATCCATGCTCTCGGATCAATGACAAATGAATATGCCCACTCCATACTCTCGGAATGACTATGTCTAATCCATGCTCTTAGATTAATGACAAATGACAATGCCCTCTCTATACTCTCGGACTACAGAAAAATGACTATGTCTAATCCATGCTCTCGGATCAATGAAAAATTTTAAAGTTCTACCCTCCATGTATATCTCACTTGTACTTATAAGAAGATACTACCCAATATTCCTCTTAATTAATTTAGGTTTACTCTGTATCCTAAATAATCATATATGCTCTTAACATGTATTTCAGGCAATATCAAATATTTCACACATAAACATGTATTTAATACTTTAATTAATAGTATTAAAATCATGTTCATGAAAGGGACTATGCGCTCACTTGTTAAAGTAATGAATCAAAATTCGGGCAACGCTTCGCTTCTAACAATTGTCTTTTCCTTCCATGAATAATAGTATCATTATTACTAGATTTTAGTCTAATATTATTGCGACTAATTATTAGTCTAGATTCATCTTTAACTCAAAGTCTACTTCATGATCTATCAAGTAAGGAACAAGCAGATAGGATCATATCAGAGGTAGGGTCCATTTTGGTATACGAAGTATACTGTTTGGAAATCCCACTTTAAACACCTCACTAAATCACAACCTAGACATCATCCCGTAAGTAGATCAATCAGTATAGCGATTTGTAATCACTGATAAATCTTGTTTGTAGGTTCATAATAACGATAATGAACTTAAACATATGTTATACTTAAAGTAGGGTAAACATAACTCACTTACAAGGGGGTTTAGCAAAGAACCGGTCTCTGCGCGGGCAGAACTTTTGAGCCAAAAGCTCTTCTTCTCGAAGACTTATGGCGCTCTGGGACTCGCCCTTAACACTTTGGGCTAGGGAATGGGAGGGGCTAAGGGGGGGGGGGATTTGAGAGAGAAATAAGAGTTTTGGTGTGAGGAAATGAGGTGATTTACGCTTCTATATATAGCCTGAGGAATTACATTACGCGGGGCATAACTACCCCTACACTGGGTGTACACGGGCCACATGTTGAGATCCGATGCGAAGCCGTGGGGAGAAAGGTGGGCTAGGAATGTGCCACGTGTCAGCCTCACATCTTAACCTATAATTTAATTATCTTCTAAATTTCGTGACATTCTCATACAAGCTCCGTTTTTGATGTTATACGAGCTTCGTTTTTGACGTTCTTTATATCCATGCGTAGGTAGTGACGTGATCTACAACTTTCGTTTAGACTCCGTCGGCTAATTTTGAATTTATTTTTAATGTTATATTTTAATAGGCTTAGAGAGATGAAGTCCGTTAAAAATTCATAACTTCGTCATTCGATGTCAGTTTTTGTCTGTCTTTATATCGTTAAGCTCCTATTAACAAGATCTTCGATTCTCATTTAGAGTGTGTTGGCTAGTAACCGATCAATCTAAAATTCGATTTTCTGGTTGTGTACTGCTACGCTAAATCTTAGAAAAAACATAACTTCTTCAAACAAAGTCAGATTTGGACGTTCTTTTTATGTATGTTCTCATTTTAACGTATACTATGACTTTTGTTTAGATTGCTAAGGCTAAAAAACATTTTATTGCAAACTCACATTTTACGATACACAACGACGTGTCGGTTTTGTTGCAAAACTTTGATGAATCATAACTTCTACGTTACAAGTCGAATTTTAGCATTCTTTATATGTATGAAATCCTTGTAACATATACTATAACTTGGTTAAGATTATTTATTCTAAATAATCTTCAATCAAAAAGTTATTTTTAATGCTTTTTGTCTCTAAATTGACTAGCCCGAATCTACGAGCGTTACACCGTCAACTTGTAATAGCCGGTCACCGTGACCAAAAAAACTCATATGGTGCCCCTATAAAGCCAAAAAAAATAAGTTCGGGGATCAAAATTCTTATGCCACAAGATCGAAGTGATTTGGGAGAAGAATGAAAGATAGCAGGCCATTCGATTTCTTGTATGTTTTCGTGTATACTAGCATCCTTCCCAAGAAATCGATCGTTGCTCTTATTTCCGTCTTCACCCTCGATCGTCACACACACTCACCGAAGATCATAACCCTCTTCTCCTTCTAATCGATTTTGGATCACAACCCCCTTCCATTCTTTTCTTTGATTTGATTTCATCTCTTCAAGGAATTGACCCTCTCCTTCTTTATTCTTGGTTCAAAATCGCACAAGATACATCTCCTTCCTCCTCCGAGTTGCAGGTTTTATGGATGCGAGGGTGAGAAGGATGCATGGGTTTGATGAGGTTCATAGAGAAAACGAGAGTTAATCATTTTTCTTGGATTTGAAGGTGATTAGTTATGGTGGCTGATTGGTGGTTTTTGTGGGTTATGGATGCTCCGGAAATGCTTGATTTCATGAGACAAAGGGGAGATATAATGGTGGTTGGATTGGGCTGTTGTGATATTGATTCGATGGTGATTAAGGTGGGTTATATTGAATAAAATTTTGATGAGCGGTTGATGCAGGTAGGATGACGGGTTGATGGAGGAGGTTGTGAGGAAGGTGGAATAAGGGTGGTATTGGGTGGAGATGAATGTGAGACTAGCATTTGATCCCTAAACTTATTTTTTTTGGTTTTATAGAGACACAATGTGAGGTTTTTTTGTTTTGGTATAAATGGTCACTTCCACACGGTGAACTGGCTATTACAGGTTGACAGAGACTAAAAGAGTAGGCTGTATCCTGGTTTAGGGACCCATAAAGTCCGATAAAAACTTTAGGGATTTAACGGGTAAACCCTAAAAAGTTCGTTGGACATTTGTATTATTTCTCCTTATTTTGTATGACTAAAAAAGTTATTTAAAAGGTTAATCCCATAAACATTTTATATTTTATGTTCTTATCATAATACAATTTTATTGTTATCCGATAAAAGACTTTGCATTTTTTTTCCAATCTAACCATTTTAGCCATTTTTTCAAGAAAAAACTTGTAAAATATGAGAGGTTTTAGGAAAAAGTAAAAAGTTGTGGGTTTTTTCGAAAAACTTAAAAGGTTGAGAGTTCTTTTAAAAAAAAAAAGAATTTGATGATCTTTTCGTTAAAAAAAAAAATACAAAATTAAAAAAAAGAAATTAAAAACCATAAAATATAAAATATTTTATGAGGTTAATCCCTATCGTAAATTTAAAACCTATAGATTTAGATGGGGACATGCGGTCAACGCCCTATGCATATATATACATGATTCGTCTTCTTGTTGATTTCTTCGTGAGTAAGCATTGAGAATAGTACATTAAAGACTGGCTTTTTTATTCAGGTGTTGAACAACAACTCCATATCCTCAGTCCTGAAACCAACTAACCTAAAGTACTCATGGATGACATGAACCCGTTCTCAACTAATCAGTGGATACAAGATTATCCCACCGCAGAGATGACTCAATCCGGTGGCGAACCTTCTGATGATCCAAGCATAGCAGTCCATAGAGATTCGAGCCAAGCAACCATTGGCCAGACTGGTCCAAAGCCGACACGCAGGAGGTCAAGAGCTTCCCGGAGAGCACCAAGCATTGTCCTGAATGCTAGCCCGACTGACTTCAGGGCCTTGGTTCAACGTTTCACCGGATGCGATAGTGGAGTTAACGAGTGTTCAGGTTTTGTTTTGGATCCAGTTGTGAATTTACCAAAAGGCCCTCTCAACATAGACTTTGCAAAAAAAGATATAAGTACTGAAACTTCATCACGGTACTCTTACTTTGATAATCAGGTGAGCTCAACTCTCCAAGGTGAGCAAATGCAATCAGTTGGTGGCTTTGATTTGCAGGTTGGCTATGGAACGGAGAATACTTCTGTTGTTTATGAATCTATTGATGAATCAACGTTAATGGCAACACGAAGAGATGGTGCCAGCCATGAGTATCATGGATCTTTAAATTAAAGGTGTTGATCAATGTTTAAGTGTTTATTATTATCGATATGTTGTTTCATTGACTTTTTTTTTTTTTTTTTTTTTTTCATTTTTTTTAACGGAGCCTAATTAAGCAGTTCAGTTTAATTAGCTCAGTTCGGTTAGCTTAATAACATAGGATATCATTCATTATTAGTACACACAGCTGTTTGAACAGAAATCAATCGAGATCGAAAACTGTTTAATACCTTGTTTCAGTACACGAAATTGGGTTCATGTATATGAACGATAAAAAGCTGCTGATCTAAAGTGATAAGATAGTAACTGAAAAATCAAGGTACTATATTTTGGTTATGTGTTTCATACAACACACCTTGAAAAGTGAAAACAATGCATGAAGAGATTTGATGATCAGTTACAAAATGAATGTAATAATTAAAAGATGAAACAAAGATATATATTAATTCAGAACGGGGAAAAAGAAGGTTGATGAAGAAGTCAGAGACCAGATGTGTAAGGAACGCCGGCAGCTTTAATCCATTTGTCCCCGTCGATAAAATGTTTGACAGTGAACTTACCCGCTTGCTTGGTGGTTATAAATTTGAGTCCTTTCCAGGTGACTCGATTCTTGATCGCTGCACCTGCACCATAATTAGCAAACTCTGCATAGAATATTGTGTCGGGAGCTGTTGTTCCAACCCATGGCAACCATCCCTTGGGATGAATGAAGCTTCCGATCATGTTGTTAAGATAAGCTGTAGTTGAATGGTTCTTCCATGGACGACCGAGGTACGTGTTAACATCGGTCAAGTTCCCATACGGCCAAATGGTGCACTTGTGAATGGAAATACCAGTGTTTTGATTAGGATCAAACTTGCCTTGAGCTGTAATCGTGTTTTGCTGACCAGTCATCGGTCTCCTGGGAAGTATGTTACAGTTTTGAAGAACAACAGCCGAGTTGCCAAAGATGAAGTCTACAGTTCCATAGATGTTGCATTCTTTATAAAATTGTCTGTTGGAATGTGCGTATAGAGAATCCTGGAATGCGTCAATGCGACATCGGTAGAATACTGACAGGTCTGCTGTTGACATAAGTGCTACAGCCTGATGCTTGGCTGCTCCAGCAGTGTTACGGAACCCCATATCGCGAGCTATAAACCCCTTACCAAACACAGCTGCATTAATTACACAAAATTTAATTAAGAAAAAGAATTGGTATAAATATGTGTTATACAAGCAGTTGCTGTTGTATCATAGTATAATATAATATTACCAAAAGTTGCCGACTGAAAGGTTGGAGTGCCATCCACAACGTTTAATCTTCCTGACACAATCGTAGAATCCTTACCATCACCGATCATCATGACATTCCATTTAGGTTTTTCGACCCTAACATTCTCAAAGTAAACGCCCTTCTTCACGTATATCACGAATCTTTTCTTGCTCTTATCAGGAACTGCCATGAGAGCGTCGGAAATTTTCTTATACTTTCCGGTGCCGTCTTGAGCCACCACCACATCGGCCTTGATGCCGGCCGGTAAATTTGTCTTCTGTAGGAGCTTTCTGTCTTTTGCAGACAACCATTCTGGCATTTCATCGCTTCCTTCTGCGATGCTCATCAATCTTCTTCTTTGGTTGAACGAACTTGCGGCGTTTGAAAACCCCTTGGTGATCGCAAGGCTGTTGCTGGTTAACTCCGTGGATTTTTTAAGGTAGCCTACACCATTTTCTTGAATACTGTCTATGCATGTTTGCTGATATGTTCCAGCAGCACTTAGCCACGTCATTAGATCATCTAACACAGATCCTATCGACTTCAAATCAATATCAGTTGACAGTGTCTCGTTGAGATGATCAATGGCAAGCTCCAATAGTTCGCTGCAGTTCTTGAGCTCCGGAAGCGTGGATGCTTTGGATAGCTCTTCTATGGCGACTAGAAAAGAGAGTTTGAGTAATTGATCAAGATGGATATTGGTGGAATTCACAAGAGGAGCTATAGAGCTGTAACAGGTATCAGGGTACAATGTACTGTCACAAACGGCTTTAATGGAAACCATGGCTGATGGTGATTGTGAATCACCATCCGTTTGGCTGTGGTTTTTGCTCTGTGTAGTTCCAACAACAGCTGAAACTACGACAATAACAAGAATAAGAGATGATATTGCTACAACAGTCATCCTTTTTCGTGTTTTCCTGCGAGCGTCAAGTCGCATTTGATCGGCTTCATGCACTTTCCCATAGGATTTTAAAGAACTCATAGCGTTTAACTAGATTTCTTTCTTGTACGCAAACTGCTTTTTTCGTCTGTCCAACACTTCATAACGATGGCAGTTTATAAAACAAAAATCACGAGGAAAGAAACATGACCTACGTGCACAGCACCTTGGTATAGATGGTGTAATAATGCTTAAAAGAAAACATCACAGCTGCCACGATTTTTTTACGTGTGCATTATATATATATATATATATATATATATATATATATATATATATTATATATATATATATATATATATATATATATATATATATATAAAAGTTCAATTGAGAAAATAAAAAATGTTGAAAATGGAGGAATCATTGTCAACCGTTCATTTAATCTAAGCATAAAAAAACACGGTGACAAACTTGTAAATATATTAATAGTCTCCAATCTCAAATACGTAACTATAGAGAATTCGCTAACAATTTGTTCATCATCAAAATTTCTACTCCAACCTTCAACAATCATCCAGATTTCTTCAACTAAACCATCATCAATGTCATCCAGTGTTAATCAATCATTGATATTCGTGGCTGAAAGGTTCGCCGTTCAAGATAAATTCGTAAACCAAATTCATCAATTTCATCGATTTCTTTGTTGAATACTCCGAATGTTCATAGCTTGCAAGCATTTGTTAAAGTTCATAACGGATTTAGAACTGGAATTTCCCAAATTCGTAAACGAACTCAATTGGAATCGGAATTTCTTCGCTGTTCATGAAATTGGAATCGAAGTTCTGGACTCGCAGTCACAGTCAACATTGAAGGACTCGGAATCGGTACTCACAGGTTCCTAATCGGATTTTCGGAAATCAAAATCAAAATGAGAAATCGATCAGACATAGGATGTCACATCTGAAGTCGAAATCGGAATTATATGATGATTTGGAATTGATAATTTGAATCTGAATTTCTTCGCTGTTTTTAAAATTTTTAAAATAGTTAACTTGTATGCACTCCAACTGTTTGATGAAATGTATAAACTAAATTACCACGTTATATTCACATATAAATATTGAACCAGTATATGATTATTAAAAACATAAAACAAATATGCAAGTTTGTATGTTATTCATATATGAATAACATATAAAAATTATATATATATATATATATATATATATATATATATATATATATATATATTTGTGAAAATACCTTCTAATATTCATAAGTGAGTATATTTCACAAGTGAATGTATATTGTAATATTCATATGTGAATATATTGTGTAATATTCATAAGTGAATATATCATCTAATATTCACAAGTGAATATACTATGTAATATTCACATGTGATATACCATGTAGTACTATGTAATATTCACATATGAAAATATCATTTAATATTCATAAGTGAATATACCATCTAATATTTACAAGAGAATATATATTATGTTAATATTCACAAGTGAATGCATCATCTAATATTTAAATATGAATATACTATATTTATTATATGCTATATTCATATATGAATGATACTTAAATTGTAAAAAAAAATTAATCATACTTTTTATTCATAAGTGAATAATAAATATACTGTAATAAAACTTGATGCATTTTTATTCACTTACGAATAACGATAGCTGAAAATAAAAAAAAAAAATATTTTATCTTAAAACTATATCAATATGGATGTCTATTTGTAGAGAATACGAATGTACTGTAATAAAACCTGTTGTGCAAAACTCATTTAAAATGTAGATATGGGCTCCTACAGTCGATATAACACGTAAAGTCATGAACTTTACGTCCATGCATGGGACTTTAAGCTCAAAAGACCCAAAAATGAGGTCTACAAGATGCATGGGGCTATCATGGCCATAAAGCTTGCATCTTTATGCCATGTACTCCTCCCTAGAACCTAGATGTAATGTCCCAAAATTCAAGACCAAAAATTTCATTTTAATTATATCATTACATAAAATCATCAGTATAGAAACATTCATAATAATGTCTCATGTCAAAACCCAAGTGTCAGTAATCTAAAACATAGTATCATAAAACCATATCAAAGTGTAATCCCCAAGGATCTCATGTGCAGAAAACATAGTATGATGCGTTGCGATCGAGTCAGCTCCTTTCCTTTGAAACGAAGTACCTGAAACCAAAACTGTAAACCGTAAGCACGAAGCATAGTGAGTTTCCCCATCGTACCACATACCATAAAATCACATAATATGCATATACTGTCAGGCATATCTGGGTGCCCGACCTACCCCTTCGGTCCTCTCGACCGGATACTGTCTAGCATATCTAGGTGCTGTCTCCTTCGGTCCTCTCGACCAGATACTGCCTAGCATATTTAGGTTCTAGCCTCCCCTTCGGTCCTTTCGACCGGATACTGCCTAGCATATTTGCGTGTTGGCCTCCCCTTCGGTCCTCTCGACTGGATATTGGGGACTATTTCACCCCTTTACTACTACCACATAACATGTAACACATAATCGTATTCTATCTAGCATGACTAGGTATAACTACCCCCTTTGGTCCTATCGACCGGAAATCTTAAGGATTGTCTACCATACTACTACTAGTATATAACATCATATCATACTAGCACATAACATATCAGGTAGTATTAAACCTAGATGAATATCATAAAGACAATCATCTAACATACGACTCCTACTGGTGGGCCGGCATTGGTGCCTTAGACCTACCGCTACTGGAAGGTAACTCACCTCACACTGCTGAAGTCCCATAGACACAATCCCACACTGCTGAAGTCCCGCAGGCTCAACCCCAGCTGCTAAATGACAGATTCCTGGACTATCAACACCAAAACAACATCCAATTAATAATTGGGTCCTAACACCTAACCATAATACATACTTGGATAATTACTACATTACCCCAGGCTTAGCTTATTTAAGCCCAAGGTCCAATCTATAAGCCCAAATCCATCTAGGAATCAAAGCTCAATATATGGCCCAATTTTCCAAGTTGGGCCCAAACCTCTGCATGGTCTCATTCTAAGGCCCAACCAAAAGTCTAATCTAACCTTTGACAGTCTATTGGTCCAATATCATATAATCATTAAGGCCCAACTATGACCCATCTATGACCCAATTTTCCAAATTGGGCCCAACTCCTCATATGGGCCTTACCCCCAAGTCCATTAATTATTCTAGTCCATTTGCTTGATCTTGGATGGCCCATTAATACTCAATCATCAAGGCCCAATAGAAAGGCCCAACAACAAACCCGAGTGAAATTAGGGTTTCACATAAATGACGATTAGGGTTAAGTGTCTATCCCTTAACCCATTAAGGACTTAATTCATTAAGGACTTAATTTATTAAGTCTAATATTAACTTAACTCGATTGCAAATGATTCGTGGTGGTAGTAGCTGTTCAATCCTTACGCATGTGTCCGGTTCGACCGCACTTGAAGCAGTCGTAACTCCCTCCCTTTCACACCCCATCATGCAATCTGCCACACTTGCCACACCGATTGTAGCACTGCTATCCCTTCGACTTGTGATCATACACCTTGGGATTTTTTCCCGAACCTGCTGCGCCAGACATCACCTCTGGCTTCGTCTTTCTCTCCATCTCTAAATCAATCTCCCTCACACGAGCCATCGCTATCATATCCTCCAACGTTTTGTAGCTGGACCGGCTCACAAACTGGCAGATATCGCTCTGCAACATGTCATGGTATCGGGCCTTTTTCATTTCCTCGTCCGCCGCATACTGCAGAACAAGGAGGGCCCTCTCCCTAAACTTGGTGGTAACCTCCGCCACAGTCTCTATCGTCTGCTGGTGGTCCTGAAACTCCCTAACAGGTGCGAACTCGGCTCTGAACCTAGTTGTAAAATAACCCTAGGTCATAGCATCCAACACAATATTATCTCCAGTGGCACTGCCGACCTCCTCCCACCAGTCACATGCACTAACCTTTAGAAGACAGGACGCAAGCCTAACCTTATTCCCCTCGGGACATCTGTTGGTGCAAAATGTGTTGGCGATGTCTGCCAACCATCTGGTACTAGCAACGTGGTATCAAGCCTCTTGGTAATTAGGAGCTCCACATGCCTTGAACTCTCTGAACGTGAGCGTGCGCGACCCTATCATGGTCGCCACCTTAGTGCGAATCGCACTTAACCTCTCATCCACGAGCTCCATAATACCCTCCTTGATCGAACTGAATATCAGAGGAGTCTGCTCAAGTATGCTATGCGTGATCTCTGAGGAGATGAACTCCTTAGTTTGCTCATCCAAGTGCTCAACTCCAAAGCCTAAATGATCCCTCCCTAGCACCTGAACTTTCGATTGCTGGTCTCAGGCGTAAAACCACCATTCTGAAAACACATAATGACAAACGTCAGAATACTACTATAACTCGAGGAATCACATGTATTACAAGTTCCCTGGTATTGTATTAGCCTTCCTTGATTCTAGTACGGATCCTATGCTTTTAGTAGTACGGGCCCATACTACCTTCCACATCTATCCGTACTTTCCTCAAGAACTACCTTGACTCCACCAAGTCCCTTCTACTGGTACTATTCTCTAATACTCTCATCCTAGGCTTTCCCTAGGGTAATCACTATCCCACTCTCCACCATCAGCTGCATAAGAAGTCTCTACTTTCTTCCCCTAACTAGCTCGTAAATACTATTACATATTACTCAGACTATATAGTTCTCCAAATGAGAGATCCAACCCTACAACGGTTGGACTCAAACAAGAGTAAAATGACCATTTTACCCCTGAAACTCTGGGTGAGAAATATTGTATGCTGCTCCGGGGACTCTCCGACTATAATTTCCATAAAGACACTTAGTCAAAAACTAATAACTAATCTTAGAGCAAAATGACCATTTTACCCCTAGCTGAAGTCAACATCCTAGTTAAAGTCAACTTCCAGTTGACTTGACTTGCCGAGTCCCTATTCTTTCACCTGTCCCCAACCCGACTCTACTCGTCGAGTCTAGCAAGAACTCGACGAGCTTTCCTTCAATCATATCATCGGGATAATCTTCAACTAACTTGTCGAGTCTATCTTCATGGGTTGGGAGATTGCC